AGCGTTGGATAATTCTTTAGCAATTAATTCCATTTGATTAACATGATCACCAACACTATCATTATCACTCATACGAGTGTTATTACATTTGTCCAAGAGCAATTGAATTTGAGTATCTGATCGAACTCCATACTTACTTTCTAGTGCTTCCATTAGTTATCTTGCAGTTTCATGTTCTTCAAAGAGCGAAATAATGTTATCTTTCATATTATGTAGCATAGTTGCCTTTGCCATTGCATCATCTTCCATCCATTTATTTTGGAACCAATTAGAATCATCATCTGGTTTAGAAGTGGATAAAGTATGCAATGTTTTCTCATGTGTAAGAAAATAAGAAATATGGCGTTTCCATGCTCGGAAATTATTTCCATTAAGAATTTCGATCCTTGAAGAATCCATGGTATTTTTAATAGCCATATTAAAAACAAAATGTGTTTCTATGAAAATTCAAATGTGAATATTACAATACTAAACTAAAAAAAAAAAACAAAATTAGAAAAATAACAACAATAAGGAAAAGCCTTGTAGTTGTTGAATCAGCCCCTGTGATGAAAATGATGTGAAGGAATAGAATGGTACTGTTGCCTTGGGTAAGAAGAATGATGAAAACCCAAAGGCCTAGTAAACCCAATACTTTGCTTATAAGTATTGTAATAATAGTTACGAGCCCAAGGAACACAATGGGATATTAGTTGAACATATCTTTACACAATTGTTACTCACAGAGTTTGGGCTACGGTATGCTAGAGCGTGTCTCCCCAGTTGCCAACCCTACACAGTTCACAGGTTGAACACACACTAAGCTACACAGTTGGGAAATATCATAACTTAATCCCTAATTTTCCTTGGTGTGTTCTACAACGATATCCTCATCTAAATGTCTTAAACTAGGCCTAAGAATGCCTAGGATAGGATGAGGATGCAAAATACACTTAGAAAATATTTCGCAAAGTTTGTTGAAACTAGGAGCCTCGCTCGAGCGGGACTTTCTCCGCTCGAGCGTAAGTTCAAAATCAAAGGCTTCGCTCGAGCGAGGAATCCTTCGCTCGAGCGGTTTGCAAAACAGTAAAAATGCTGGATGCTAAGATTTTGCGCGCGATGGTCGCTCGAGCGGAGCCCTGGACAAAGGTGATCGCTCGAGCGGGGAATCATTCGCTCGAGCGAGGAAACCAAATCTGGAATTTCCAGATCTACCTCCCAAGCTCAAACCAAGCATTCAACCACTCCAAACTCGACCTCTTGGGCCCAAATTCAGGAAAACATAACTAAATTCAATGTATAACAAGTTTCAAAGCTCAATTTATGAATCCAAGCCCCAAAGGTGAGTCAATTAAAACCATATTCAAACCCATTTTAAAGAATATGAAGAACATGCAAACATGCATGGATTCAAACCATTTCAAAGCTTCGATTTGATGTTTTAAAGAGCCAATTCTTTTCAAAACATGATGAAATCATGGACTACACTCAAGACATGAACATGCATGTAACATTTTGCCATGAACTCAACTCAAAATCCAACAATACAAACATGCATGCATGAAATGAGCTTCAAATCAACAACAATGAGCTAAAATATGACTTAGTTCTACAATGAAGCATGACTCATGCAAGAACTAGCTCAATGGCAATAATACGAAGGTGAGTTTCCTACCTTAGTCTTGTGTTCAAGGTCTAGGAGCTCAAAGTAGCAATCAACACTTCAATTCCAAGCAAGATCAAGCAAATCTCTCAAGAACAACTCAACTCTCTCTCACTCTCTAACTTGGGTCGGTTGAGGCAAGAAGAGGAGAAGAAAATGTTTGTTTGATCAATACGTGGAGTGTATACAAGGTTCAAGAGATAGTGGTCCACTAAGTGGCGGAACGGTAATTAACTCAAACTATGCGATTAATCGATATTTAATCTAATTTAATCATACCTAATCAATTTTCAGGTAAATACACCATAAAATCACATTAATTCTAAGGATCATAGAACACTAATCGGTTTCGGATTCGGCCGCCGATAAGGCCTTCAATTAGCAGTTTAAACATATGAACATGAACAGATAACCATATTGTCAACAGATAAAATGCAATTAACTAACATGTACTCAGTCAATTCGGTTTTCAATTTCAGTCAGTCAGTTCAGTACTTATAATCAGTTCAATTATCAGTCATAATCAATTCAGTTTTAACGGTAATCAATGTTTATCGGTAATCAATCAGTCATTAGTCGGTAAACAGTATGAGGGTTGTTACAAGTTGTCGGGCGTCGGGCTCAAGGAGAGGAGCCGTCTATGAGAACTCTAGAAGGACAAGAAAGAGGAGCTTGTTGGGCGTCGATTTTGCAGGGGATGTCGGCCGTCGAAGTGAAGAACAAAAAAAATAAGAGGTGAGAGAAAGAGATGAGAGATCTATATCTCTTTTATAACTTAGCTTCGATTTTGAATTCTAAATGAGGAGAGAGAAAGAGGAGGTGCGTGGGTCTGAAAGTCACATGACTGCTCACGTGACTTTCTAGCTCAGCTGGGGGTTGTAGGGGTTGAATTTAGTGGGGGTCCGAAGTATTTTACTAAATTTATGAGCGATGATTGAACTTTATTTTCAATAAGTAATTATCTTACTACATATGCATGATAAGGTAAATAGCAACAATTTATTTGATAATGATACTGATGACGTGATAAACGTGGTATCATTATTGCACTTTGTTTAGGCCATGCTTGTAAATTGGCAATGTAAAATCCAAGCTATTTTAAGGGAATTGTACATACACTTGCCTAATTTCTCTTCACACCCATTATAAATATTTTATTTTATTTTGTAATTTTATTAACATGACACATTTTTATAATAAAAACAATCATGAAAATATACAATCACTTTAAATTAAGGAAAAATTATTTTTAAGTCCTATTAGGAAGACTTATATTACATATGATCCTACTAAAAAATTTATATTCCCAAAAATCCTGTGAAAAGTTTGTTGACACATTTACCTTCAATATTAATTGTTAATATCATAAATAATAGTAAAACCATATATAGGAAATTGAATATTACCATAGATCATATCTATATAAACGTAACGTAACGTGACACCTACATAAACGTAACTTGGCACCTGTACGTAACGTGACACCTATATAAACGTAACGTGACAGCTATGATCTATGGCAACATTCAATTTCATATATAGGAAATTGAATGTTACCATAGATCATATCTACATAAACGTAACGTAACGTGACACTCACATAAACGTAACGTGACACTTATGATCTATGGCAACATTTTATTTCTTAAGAAATTGAATGTTGCCATAGATCATATTTATATGAAACGTAAAGTGACACCAACATAATCATATCCACATAAACATAACGTAACGTAACGCCTACATAAACGTAACGTGACACCTATGATCTATGGCAACATTCAATTTCTTATAGATCATATTTATATGAAACGTAACGTGACACCAACATAAATCAGCAATATTTTCACATTCAATTTAACAAAATAAAAACTCATTAAGTTTGCGAAACGTAACGTGACACGTTACGTTACATTTATGTAGGTGTCACGTTACGTTTATGTAGGTGTCACGTTACGTTTATGTAGGTGTCATGTCACGTTACGTTTATGTAAGATCTTGTGGAATACATTCCTATCTAAATAGGACTTAAAACTCTATAAGAAATTACACAGAACTTACCTAAGTCTCCCTTAAATTTATTTTCTTAATCAATGCCTCGACAACACTATTTTGTTGGGAAATTTTAATATACACATATGTAAACAAGTGTATTATATATATTTTTAATTATGGCCAAATTTATTATGTTAATTACGACTCATAAATCTTTTAATTATATCACATATTATATTTAATTATGATATATATATATTTTTTTTATTTTGTCAATTATAATACAAAAGAATATAAAATTATGTTTATTAGGTTTTCTTCACGTCTTCTTTTCAAATCTCTCTTCACGTTTGCCTGCTCTGCGGCTGAACGTAACGTAGTGTGGTGCTTTGTCCAATTGAAATGGCAAAGAAGCCCAAACAACCACACAACAACAACAATGGCGATTCCAACTCTGGTTCTGGTTCTGGTTCTGGTTCGTCCAACATTTTCAAAACTCTGTTCGGAGATAACCCCGAACAGCAGAGTTCTGTTTCCATCTTTTCCGACGACAATCCCTTCCGTAGAAAACCAAGTGATAGTTCCCAAACACTCCATCAACAGAAAAAACAACAGCTAGGGTTGGGGTTTGGTTCACCTGACGATGTTGGGAACACTGCCAATGGTGATTTTGAAAACCCTAATTCGAAGAGGAAGAGGAACAAAGATAAGAAACGGAGTTTGGATTTGGGTTCGATTGATGAAACTTCGGAGACCCATTTGGAGATTAAGAAATCGAAGAAGAGTGAACCAAAAAGCTCTAATTTTGGTGTGGAATTGGAGCAGAGAGGTGAAGGGGAGAAGTGTGAGTTGGGTTTTGATCCCAAGGAATCGTTCAAGCGAGGCAAGGAAAGGAAACACAAGTTGGGTTCAGAATCTGAAAGAGGTCAAGGAAATGACCCTAGTTTGGGTTTGGAGTTGAATGGGATTGTGAATTTGGAGGTGGAGGGGACAGAGAAGAAGAAAAAGAAGAAGAGAAAGAAGGATGAGCTCGAGGTGGAGTACGAAGCACAGCGGTATGGGGTTGTGGCGAGCAATGATGAAGATGGAGAGGGAGGATTGGGAGGGAAAGTTGTTGGGGAGAAGAAGAAAAAGATTGATGATCCAGTTGATTTGATGGTTCCAAAAGAAGGTTTTGATGATGAGGCTAAGCTTTTGAGGACTGTGTTTGTTGGGAATTTACCATTGAAGGTTAAGAAGAAGGCTTTGTTTAAGGAATTTAGCCGGTTTGGAGAGGTTGAGTCTGTGAGGATTCGGTCTGTTCCTCTATTGGATGTGAGTGCTTCCCAGATTTACTCTTTTGGTTTTTATGTGAGCACTATTTATTACTTTAAAAATATGTGTGTGTGTGTGTGTGTTAACCATTTCTATATTTTACATCTGATTGTTTTGGCAGACCAAAAAACCGAGAAAGGGTGCGATAATCCAGAAGAAAATCAATGATGTTGTTGACAGGTATTATATTTGTAGTGTTTTATCATTTTGTCTTTCATTCCTGTTATTTGTTGGATGTCATTGTGCCTTGAAGTGAAGTACTGTTGCTGTTTCCTCGTTTGGCTTTCATCTGGAGTTCCTGTTTTTGTAATAATAGCTTCCTTTTGGAGTCTTGCCTTTTGTTCACAATCCCCTAATTGGCTCAGCTGTCGACTTTCCTAGTTTCCAATATCTACGCTTCATGGCGTTTATAAAATTATGTTTATATCCTTTGGTGGTACTTTTGCAGTTTTATCATAAGAAATGATTTCTTTGCATTCATCATTAGGCTTCTTTGGTCAATCCTCTAGTTATCATTAACAATATGAAGTTGTGATGCAGCCTTTCCTTTTTTCTTTTTCTTTTTCTTTTTTTCTCTCTCTTTTCCCCTCCCTCTTCCCGTGTTCCTATTTGTATGAAAATATGCTCCCTTTTGTATTCTTGCTTCTTGTCCGTGAACTACACTCCCTTATTTGACTCAATCGGCCACTTTCCTTTAGTTCCCAATATCTCTGCTTCATTGCATTTATAAAATTTTATTCATATCCTTTAGTGAGTTATTTTGAAGCTTATTGGTATTGAGTGTTGGAGTAACAGATTTCTCATAAGAAGTGGTTTCTTGCATTGATCATTAGGATTCTTCAGTCAACCCTCTAGTAATCATTAACTGTGATAATATTTGTAGATGTTTTTCACAAATCATTCATATAGATATCTGCAATAAGAGTTTGTTGCTTCCTTTGAAATCCATTAATTATTCAATACTATAAACGTATAATAATAACTAGTATTGGGTTGACTGTATGAGTCTTCTCTTTTTCCGTTCTTGTTATTACTGATGTGCTAAATTGCCGGGGTCTTGCAGTGTTCATGCATACATTGTTTTTAAAACAGAGCAAGCTGCCCAGGCTTCTTTGGCCCATAATATGGCTGTGGTAGGTTTGCTCTTCTGAATGTTAATCAACATGATCTTTGTTGAAATTGGATATTTATCAGTGCTAAGTGCAGTTGTAATGGGTTGTGGATCTAGGTTGGAGAAAATCACATCCGTGTTGACAGGGCATGCCCACCACGCAAGAAACTGAAGGGAGAGAATGCTCCACTCTACGATAACAAGAGGACTGTTTTTGTGGGTAACCTCCCATTTGACGTGAAGGTGATTTCTTTTTATATTGCTCCTGTTCTTGTTCTTCTAATTTCCCCTTTTAAGTAATTACCGTATGCCGGCTGCCCAATTTGCTTTTCTTGATGCTTATAATGACCTGGATACTTGGCTTACTGTCTCTGCAGGATGAGGAAATTTATCAGTTTTTTTCTGGTATCAAGGATCTGGAATCCAGCATTGAGGCCATTCGGGTTGTCAGAGATCCTGGTTCTAGTGCAGGGAAGGGCATTGCTTATATCTTGTTTAAAACAAGGGTATGGTTAGCAGTTTTGCAAAGCATATTTAATCTTTCCTTCAACGTTTTTAAAGTGATTGAATTCTTCTTGACCTTTGCTTAGTTTATCTAATTTAACACAGTTATTGCTTAGATCTTGTTTAACAGAAGGGTATGATTAGCAGTTTTACAAGGCATATTTATTATTTCCTTTGACATGTTTAAAGTGATTGAATTCTGCTTGACCTTCACTTAGTTTATCTAGTTTCACCACAATACTTTGTACAAGAGCAAATCTGCAGTCTGAGTTGATTGGTCCATAAGGTGTTCTATTTTGCTTCAAAATACTAAATTTAATCCAAAGCTTTTTTTCTTGATTACCATATGCTTGTTTCCCTTTTTAAGGATTGGCAAAATTACTGATTAAACCATTATGGAATTTGAAGTTTTGTGACCCCCCCTCCCCCCTCCAAAAAGAAGCCAGTACACACCATGAGAGAAATGCCAAAATAAAGTAATTAGGGTTATCCTCGTATGTAAATGATTTATTTATATGATTAGATTGTGCGAGTGAAGAAAAAAGTTTGAAAATTTATGTTTTGCATTGGAAGATAGGCATATTGCATCTATCTTATTAGTTTTAAGCAAGCTACCAATAGAAGCTATATATAAACTAAGCCTACTTTCATCATGCCATGATCAAGGACAAGTAGACTCTGTCTATTCATTTATTTATATGTCAGCCTCACTGCTTTCCATTAGTTCAACATGATCATTTTTCTTCCCTTCCACTCCTCTCATTCCTACATTTATTTCAAGCTCTGTAATTTGCTTTGCTTGCACTTCTTTCTATGAGTTATAAAAACTTTTAAATTTTACAAACTTTTCTACTCATATGAATTGTTCATATCATCTTATTTTAGTGGGTTCCCATTACTGCTTGTCACATTTGTTGATTAAGAAAAAATTGTAAATTTTGTTAGTTTGTATAACATTTTCCTATTTCTATTTCAACCTTTTCAGCTCTTCCACCTTTTTTTTAAAACTTGTGTTGAGTATGCATTTATATATTAAAAGGTACCAAGGGGAGCCACCTGAATACATAAGTTATACAGAAAGGAACAAAACAATCTATATCACCTATACTTCAATCTACTCTAATGACTGTACACTCGAAAACCAGTTATACAAAAAAGAAAATATACGAGTTTTAATCTAAAAATGAGATCTTTAAAAGCCATCAAGCATCCTTTGATTGCAATCTCCGCAAATGATACTGTCAAAGCCCATGGAACCAAAATCCATGCCTTTTTTGCCCCTTCTCCATAGAACAAACCCCACAGATTTCTAGGGAATACCCACATCACTCCAAACTTGACTGAAGACAAGGACCACAACTTTCTAGCCACCATTCAACAAATGAGGAGATGATTACATGCCACACCAATTGATGCAGATTTGCCGCCTCCTAATCAACTTGTCGATAGTCAAGATCTTCCAATGAATACTCGACCGTACAAAGAAGGCAACCTTTGAGGGTGCCTTCGACCCGAAATCCCTCTGTATGGAAAGGATTATGGCCTATGCTTATAAAGAATACAAGTGAAACTCAACCAAGCAACACAAGATAAACTCCAAATTAATGTAATATTAAGCCTTTCATATGTCAAGCTTGCATATTAGTCCCAACCTCTTCCTCCCCAATCTAGAATCAGTCAAAAACCCCTTAGCATTGCATATTTAGGCTTTTTATGCATATATATATGTCTCACAAATGAAGCATTACATACTTGTAGTTGCTGTTTCCTCTATATTTGGGTTCCATGTTTATATGTTCCTGTAGATATACATATTTTTCTCCCTTGAAGTTTTTTAGATGGTATGTAGTTCAAGGGTTCAAATTTGAACTTTATTTACAATAGAAGTCTATTATGTTTTGTCGATTTTTAAAGCATGTCATGTGGAAATCAAAGGAAGAGGTGAAAATTATTTGGGGATTTAAATTACAATTTGCCAGTTCTATAAGTAAAACCAAATGGCTTTGGATGTGGAGGCAATATGAAAATTACAAAACTTCATAACCCTAGGGCATGAAATATTTTGCAAACTCTAGTACCTTGTGTTAAATTCATTTGAGACTAGAAGCATAAAATGTTTATAATATATACCAAGCTGATATCTTAGTACCAAACTATTCGTTGTTCTTAATTTTTGGTTGGGTTTTTTGGTGAGAAGTACCTCAATCTCAAGTTTTCTTGCATGAAGGACAAGTCAAAAAAATTTCCTTCATCAAGGATAAAATTTAAAATATGCCAAAAATACACTCAATTAAAATTCCATTAGTCTCCTCCCACTATCTTACACTATCACAACTATTGTTGGGTGTTGCCAGCCATTGCCAACCACCACCAGTTGGCGGTAGCTGTTGGCCATCGCTAATCACTACCCGGTGGTGGTAGTTGTTGGCGGCAATAATTTTACTGTCTTGCATAGTAAACTATTACTGTCCTACATATTAAAATTTTACTATTCGGAACAACAAACAAAGGAAAATTCATGTATTAAACCACATAGAAAACGTTGAAACAAATAGGATACTAAAACTGGAAAAAAATATATATATATATACATGGAGAGAGATAAAGAGAGAAATTAGAGAGAGCACATATATGAGGTTGCCATTTTGAGATCGCGGGTCTCAAATCTGTCTAAACTAGTGTAAAATTTTACTATCAGAACCAAAGTAAAATTTTATTGTTTGAAACTGTGAATTATGTATAAATCATGCATGGAACCATATTGAAATATTCTTTAACATTGAAACAAGCAATGTACCGAAGTGAAAAAAGAAAAATAGAGAGAGAACATATATCTGAGGTCACCTATCTCAAATCTGAGGTCGTTGGTCTCATATCTGAGATGGTGGAGGTGGTGAAGATGGTGGTTGCCAGCGGTGATGGTGGGATTGATGAGACAGATATTATTGAGTCTGGTAGCGAAGTATAAATGAGGTACTAGATACAAAGATCAGATATTTTGAAAGAAGTGAGAGAGTTGTAGAAGATAAGGATGTTTATGGGCAAACAAAAATGATTTGGAACCCCACAGGGGAGGCACCCCCATGACCTCCTCTGGCTGTGATTGGCCAGTTTTCTTTTTTTCTTTTTCTTTTTTTTCTTCTCCTCCAATCACCAACCTCTACATGTGTGTGGGGTGGTGGGGGTGGTGATTGGAGGGGGTCTCAATCACTTCTCTATGGGCAAAAATGTCATAAAAATGTCCAACTTGTCCTTTTCACAGTAAAAAATAGGAAGTGAAGGATTTCAAGCATTAAAATCTGTTGGATTGGATTGGATATTTTGTAAGATGTAAATTATTTGAGGGGCTTTTGGCCAAAAATCCCTTAAATCCTTCCCTTGGATGGTTGTACACTCCGGTCTTCTATCATGAGGCAATGGATCACGTTGATTCCAGTCATGTTGGCAATGAACTGGAACAAGTCTTGGAAAAGCTTTCAAGCAGAGTTTGGAAATTGGCTTTTAGCAGTTTGTGTTTTTGTTTTTTTTTTTTGTTTTTTCTTTCGTCACTAGTGAACTTTAAAAAAAATTCAAAATTTTTACTCTAGTAGACCGACCTAAAAAGTAAATAAAAAATAAAAAAATTGAAAAAGTCCCCTAATGACAAAAAAAGCTTAAAAAGTCTAGTTATTTTTAACTTATTTTTGTCTTTAGTGAACTTTTTTGGATAAAAAGCTCAAATTATTAGATACATTTCAGATTTTCCAAGGCACCATGCTGAATATCGAGATACAGGTTACAGCTAAAACCAAATACTTAATACACCCAATGGAACACACATGGAAGAAAGGCAAGAAGAAAAAGCAGAAAAAGCACAACAAAATCCAATACTAAAACTTTTTTCCCTCAAATGATTTACATTTTATAAGAAGTCCAAGCCAAAAGATTTTAATGCATAAGGTCCTTCATTTCATATTTTTCATTGTGAAAAGAACAAGTTGACATTTTTTAGATATTTTTGCCCATAAACATCATTATCCTCTACAACTCTCTCATTTATCTAAATATTTGATCTCTCTAGCAACTCATATCAACACCATCCGCTACCGTCACTCACCTCTTCTACAGTTTGCTACCAGAGTCACTAATGTCTTTCTTACTGATGCCACCATTTTAGATCTAACACTATTCATCGCTTCCATTGGCAACCACCACCTCCACCATCTTAGATCTAAAGATAGTTGATCTCAAATCTATGTTCTCTCTCTCTCTCTAATTCTCTCTTTTTATTTGTATTTTTTTTCCACTTTCGGTACCTTGTTTCATTGTTGACTAAAAGAATATTTCTGCATGGTTCAATGTATGTAGATTTTACAGAATGTTTCAGATAGTAAAATTTTATTTTGGTTTGGACAGTAAAATTTTACTATAGTTCGGATAGACTTGAGACTGGCGGGTCAGATCTGTGTTCACTCTCTCTCTCTCTCTCTATGTATGTATATATATATATTAGTTTTAGTATACTATTTGTTTCAACGATAACTTCAGGACGATTTGTATATAGTTTAATATATTAAAAGAAAAGTTAATATTTTACCAAAATAATAATATCTATTATCACTGTCATATAAATGTATTATCATAGTTAGCTATTATTTGCATTTATATTTTTTTAATATATAAATAACATATTTTTACATTGTTTAATATATAAATAATATATTTATTTTATTATTTAAATAAATGTTAAACGAGCTGAGCTGTAATATGTTTGGGCTTGTTTATTAAGATTTTAACGAGCTTGAGCACTTGAACGCAATAAAAATTTAACGAACCGAGTTTGAACGAGCTCTTACTGAGTCAAGTTCAAACTTGTTCACGAACAGTTTTGTTCATTTGTAGCCCTACCAGCAGTTACTGCTGGCCAATGGTGGTTGATAGTGGCTGGCAGCAGTTGACGGTGGTTGTTGTAGTGCGAGGTAGTGGGAGAGGAGGCTAATGAAATTTTAGTTGAGAGTATTTTTGTCATATTTTAAAATTTATCCTTGATGAAGGAAATTTTTGACTTATTTTTCATGCAAGAAAACTTGAGATTGGGGGACTTCTCACCAAAAATCTCATGATTCAATCCCTCAACCTATACCGTATCTTTGTTTTTTATTTTTTTATTTTTTTTGAGCAGGGGTTGAACACTGAAGCTTTCGATATGAAGTTGCATTGGTTCCTATTTTGTTTTTCTTTTTTTGTTTCTTCTTCTTCTTTTTTCCCCTTCTGTTTTCATGTGGCACCACTAGAATGGACTCGCTGATGGTACACTAGGGTGAAGTCTGCAACGTAATAGGTTTTCTAACACAAGTGCTAGAGTGAGGATATCAGTGTGGAAATCGCTTGTTTTGACTTGAAGTTTTAAATTAACTTATTTATGAAGATGCTATTTGCCTGCAATAGTTGTAGTACAGGAATGGACAACACTGTTATGATGGTTTTTATTTCTGTATGATGCTTACTGTAAATCTCATATACGCCCTATGTCAAAGCATTATCTGAAAGTCATTTGTAATTTGCATGCAGGGTGCAGCAAACTTGCTTGTTAAAAAACGCAGCTTGAAGCTCCGAGATCGTGAACTAAGGCTCTCTCATGCCAGATCAAACATCACACCATCTAAGAGGAGCAATCCATCATCCACAGAGAGAGATGATTTTCCGGCCAAGAAGAAAGCTGTGGAATTCAAGACTCCTGACAGTAGCTCTTACCAGGGAGTGCGGGCTAGTAAATCTGGTGTGCAGAAGAAAGTTTCTAAAGTCATTGCGCCACAGAAGTTCAAATCCAGGACTCAAAAAGTAGAGAAGCTGAAAGAGTGGACAGGAAAGAGACCAGCAGTGGCTGCTAGAAAGGCAAATGCACTGAAGGGTGGTAGCGGTTCTTCGAAACAAACTGGGAAAAAACACAAGCTGGAAAGCCGCACTTCAGGTCCAAACAAGAAAATCAAGAAATTCAGATAGGATTTTCCATGTAATCAAAGCCTTTGAAAATGACATGGCTCAGATAAGTTTTCAACTGCATGCTGCCGAGGATTATTTGATCAGATATTTTGTATTTTATTTTATACCAATGTGGGAAATATAAATTATGAGTCGAGTGATTATAGATTACTGATTAGTTTCTTTGATTTTGATAGCGAAACTCTGATGTATCGGACTTAGTAGCTTGTTCTGGTTGGTACTTTTCCAAGTACCATGAAACGATTCTAGGGTTTAGGGGAGTGATTCAAGGGAATGTTGAACCCTAATTGACCATTAGAATGTCAAATACTGAGCTTTTAGAACCTCTTCTAGCATGTCAGGACTTGCCTCTGGTTGATCTGTCATCGTCTGTGTATGGTAGTAAGTCCTATGCATCCAAATTTCGTAAAAAATATCGATGAGATGCAAGCCTGTACTGGATTTGAAAGCTTAAAGGATATCAGCTAGTGAACTTGTATGTTATTCTTTTGCAGGCAATGTTTTGAAAACTGGACAGGTGAGTGAACTAAAAAAAAGATTAGGTGAACGGGTTACCGGTTCAATTGTCAAGTCGAAATGGTCGAACCGTAATATCATAATTAATAATATATAATTATAAATAAATATATATATATATATATATATATATAAGTATTGAAATAAAATTTGTTGTATAGTATTTATTAATAATATTTAATAAAGTCATAATTGATATAAAAAAAGTCACTAGTTTTAAAGAAATTAAAAAAATTTAACATTCTCTCCAAACAAATTGATTGAATGGTCAATTTAATTTTAGAGAAAAATGAAAATTTTGACTCTCCTTCCAATCAAATATGATTCAAACAATTTAATTGAATTTCACATAGAATTTTGAAGTTTTCTTTGAACAATCTTATCTTATAAATAAGAATAGACTTCCATAATCACTTTAAGCTTCTAATGAGATTCGTCTCATGATAGGAGACTCTTGAAGAGTTTTTAATCAAAATTTTGATATATATATATATATATATAAGAAAGAAGAAAAATAAAAAATAAAATTTTCCAACCGGTGTGTTGATCAAGAACTGGGACCGGTTCAACAACCGATTTCTCTAGTTCTTGCAAACAATGTCGGTTTTTGTGCCTCATCCAGATCGGAACTAGGTCGTCACCGATTCTACCGGTTGAACCAGCCAATCCGATTTGATTCTTGAAACATTGTTTGCAGGTTTTAGTTGATGGTTGTTCCTTGTTAGATGTATAGTACTAGTTCTAGAATGTTACAATTTGTTCTTATGGTTAACTTTACGGGTGGAAATTTTTGACACGATAAGATAATATGATTCAAAATGTACACGAAGTTATCAAGTTAAGGTTAGTCATTGTTCAACATGAACAAAAATATGACAATCCGATAAAACAAACATTAAACGGATCATATTAGTATTGACAAGGAATTTGCTTAATGAAGAATTAATTATTTTCACTACGTTGTTATTATGGTTTTGAATTTCTTATATAATTCTATCCAATTGAGTAAAATATATATATAAAATAGGATTTTATCTCCCAAAAATAAAATAACACAGTATAATTTTTATAAATTGGGAAATGAAATTGAGTTAAAATCAAACATTTTTTATGAATGATTTCATAAAATTTAGCATTTTTTGAAAAAAAAAAAAAAATCTTGATACCTTTTAAATAAGGGTTAATTTTGTTGACAACACATTTTAAAAATAACACAGAACAAGAATATGAAAAAAAAAATAAAAAAATACAAACTTAAAATGACACGGCACAACACCGGCCACCTCTAGGTTAACTAATGAAAATGCTAATTTACTAGTATATCTTGATTAGGCATTTTTTTTTTTCTCAAGTTTTCCGTACTATAGTTGTCTTGTGGTGTCCTGTTTTGTTATACATGTTCATGAATACACAAGATATTTATTATACGAATATTTGTAGTATGAGAAGTAAAATAAAACAACAAAATAACACCAAAATGACAAATATTTTGTTTTCCTATTCCAAGTGGTGGAAGTTTAAAGCCCCCAATGGTCTTCCAAAGAAACATCACTAGTTTGTCCCCAATTATATTACAATTTGATAACCACCCTCCACAACAATAGTCTCAGATAACATCCCAATGATGTACTAATTCTTTTCCCCCCCATCCCAACAATACAATACACAATACAATGAAGAGGAACCATTTTCCAAACCCTACTCAATACCACCTCCAATTGCTGCAGCTTCGGCACTGATGAGATCTATAGCTATATAATAATGCTACATATCGCAATTGTTTGATATGCTAATCTGTACAGATATGTAGTGATAATCAGTTTTGCTTGGAGACCAAGGAGACCATGTTAAGCAGACTCTGTTTCAGCTGACGAATTCTATGATTTGTTCTTGTTCATCAGTGTAGGGGTAACTGATACAACCCCGATAAGGAACAGAGTGGCTATTGAGTTGAAGTCGTAAAGGTCGCCAATTGATTGCAAGTCACTGAGAGCTATTCCAGCCTGCAAATGCCAGGAAAGTAAGTTTGTTGGGTTATTCATAAATCCATGTTTTTACATTGGAGATGACAAATAATGATTCAAGAATACTACAAGCTGCACAAGCCATTTGTGAAACTCCCCGGTTATTCAAAAACTAGGCCAACATGCTAAAGGGAACCACATCTCCATTTTTGGTTGAGTGTAAATGAAAACAAACAGAATATGACATTATACAGTTGCATGCACAAAATGATTGTGCAATTACAAGCACGAAAATGTGTTTTCTCCTCTTTCTTTTTTATTTTATTTTTATAGTTATGTTTGTTTTTTTAGCTAAAACTATGATTCCCAAGGACATGGTTTTTCACTTGGTTTGAGTCAAAGAATCTACCTTCTTTTCCATTGCCGTGTATGTGTATATATGTAAATCTATGTGGAACATATTCTAAATTAGTATTGATTTAATCTCAATTTGAAGTTCTGAACTTGAATCAATTCTGGTCAGCACAAGTCATTCCTTAATCTTGTAGCCACAGCCAAAAATAATATTTTAAAAAAAAATTTGAAAAATTTGAAAATAAAGCGTACGAATCTAAAATGTCAAGACATGAAAACATATTGCCAAACAAGAAAAGTAAATACCCGGACAGTGACGTAAGCAGCAGGAACAATCCCAATGAAGGTTGCAAGGAAGAAGATATGGTAAGGCACATCAACGATTGGTGACGCCACGTTAATAAATGTATTTGGCAAGGTTGGGGTGACTCTTAGGAAAAGCATATAGTTCAACAAACTTGTTTTTCTTTTAGCCACCTGGTTCAAAAAAACAAACATTTTGTTTCAATATTTTTGTTGACCCAATAGATGAAAATATAGGGATAAGTTGAAGTTTCACCTGTGTTTGGAAGAATGTAAGTTTGTCGGGCCAGAGAGAGAAGACAAGGGGCCGACCGATCAATTTGGAAAGGAAAAAGCAAGAAGAAGCACCGGCAGTGGCAGTGAACACAACCAGTGCTACGCCTTTAAAGATTCCAAAAAGGGCACCGGCGAGCAATGACATGAAAACAGTACCAGGAATCATAAAAGTCTGCATGAAAATGTAGACCATGCAGTACCCCACGAGGACTTGTATAGTGTAGTCACTTGTGTAGTTCTCAAGGTGATCTCTGCAGGGAAATTCAAAGAAATAATAAAGATATTTTCCTCAATCATGATTTACAATCTCTCCCAACAAGCTTCATCAAGCACATCAAGCAGAGGAGAAATAATAAAATTTGCACAATCAATCATTAAACATCTCAACAATCAACAAAAATTTCATACCAAATATTACTTCAGGTCATCCTAAATTTCATCCATCCTGTGGAGGCTTTTGAAAGCACAAACAAATCAATCTAACGCGGTTCTAAAGGAGAATTATGGCCTTGATCTTTATTTGAAGGTACTTGAACTATGAGGTGATAAAACTTTGTTAGTATATGATTTCAAATAGAATCAGTTGGAGAAAAGAGATCCATGTACGCGTCCTCTAAGTAATTGAGAGAAAGGATTGTTGACATGATTGACTTCAATCTACTTGTAAAATTTATTGATCAAACTTATTAAAGATGATCTTTTAGGCTGTGTTTGGATCATGGTTTTGGGTAGGGATTTGGAAAGGGAAAGGGAAAATGTGAGTGAAACACAGCCTTAAAGTGGAGGAAACTTCAACTTAGAAACACAAGAAATTGGGGGAGTTGCACTTTTACACTCATACAAGACCTCCCTGTTAAAGCATTCTCCAATCCTCATCAATATTTTCATCAAATTCAAATTTGATGAAAAAATGGCTAAAAATATGCTCCAACCATCTCATCAAATCGAGGGAGATGCAATTTATTCACCAAATCAAGAATGAACCAAATGCTTCACCAAATTTTCAACAATCAAATTTTTACTCAAATTTGATGGAAGTTTTAAAAGAGTAAGGCAAAAACCCAAACAAACCAAAATTTAGTATTGGAGATACTCTTAGTCCTTAAAATTTCAAAACAAAATTGTGAAAACCCCCATCAGCCAAGCTTTAAGGAGCAATGAAATCATATCATTCTCGCACAAGCTATTAACCCAAACAAACCACAAAGTCAAAAATATATATATAAATATATATATATCCTCCGTTTGTTTGATTGGAAAATCTTCCTTCATTAATTTTCTTTTTTCTTTTTTTCCCTTGTGAACATAACAATCAAAAAAAAGTTTTGATTGTCTGAAAAAAATCAAAAACCACAAAGTCAAAAATATATATATATATATATATATCCTCCGTTTGTTTGATTGGAAAATCTTTCTTCATTAATTTTCTTTTTTCTTTTTTTCCCTTGTGAACAAAACAATCAAAAAAAAGTTTTGATTGTCTGAAAAAAATCAAACTTTTCACCACGAAATCAGACAAAAACAAAAATCTTCTTATAAACCACCAAAACAACATATATATATATATATATAATGGGAAGTAAGTACCTGAGGATTTGGAGATCTTGGAGACTACGAGGGAGTTTGAGGAAGCTGTAATCCGATGCGGGCATCGTGAGATAGACGCAGAGAAGCCCTACTCCGAAGCTCAATACGACGCCGGATGCGGCCGCCATATCCCAAAACGTCAACGGAAACTTCTGCGACGGTCTATTTACAACACTGCCACCGCCATTGACGTTCTCTACCTGCTCTCTCCCCTCCATTATCAACCAAAATCCCAAAATTCAATTTTTTAAAAAAATAAAAATTTGGGAATTCGATTGTTAGGTGGAGAGAGAGAGAGAGAGAGAGAGAAAGTGAGGGATCCCTAACAAGGTTTCATAAATAATGTTGTTATTGGTGTGGGAAGTTTCTTTCCTGTTGGGACACTCCCCTGGTTTTTTTCCCGTCTTTCCTCTCCCTTTCCTCCGTGCCTGTATTGTTGGATCCTATAAGAGAGAGAATATTCGTTGGTTACAAAAAAAAATTCCAAAAAATGAAAAACAACAAAAAGATAAACGTGTCAGATATATGACTTTTTAAAAATAAATTCGTCACGCAACTTTAAAGCAATTCATTTGGTTTGATTAAAAGTTTTCGGATGTTTTGGTTTGATTTTGTGAGATAAATTTTTTTTAAAAAATTGAGAAAAAAATTTAGAAATTTTTTTAATTTGTTTAGTTGTATATTTTAAAAATAGTTTTGGATGGTGAAAGTTTGACATGATTTGATATTTTATTGTAGTTGAGTAGATATGTATGAGAAAAAAAAGTAATTGAGAATAAGAAAAGAGAGATAAAAAAAGTAATTAATTGATGTGTGGAAGATAAAAAGTATTTTTGATTTTTTTTTTTAAATCACTAAACCAAACAAAATTTTAAAAAATTTTCTTCAAAATTTGTTTTTAAAAAACAAACCAAACAAGGCCTTTATACCTATTATGTTGTCATGTTTGAGAAAAGTATATTAAGTAATTTTTATTTTTTTTGAAGTGTCACATCATATCCACTATATTGTCACATTAAGAAAAAGTACACTAAAGAGTTTTTATTTTTTTTAAAATGTCACATCATATCTGTCACGTTGTCACATTTAAGAAAAGTATACTAAGAAGTTTTTAATTTTTTTAGAGTATCACATTAATACCTACCATTGGAGTATCACATCATACCTGTCACATTAATAAAATGGTACAACTGTCCATTAAAACACTATCAAAATTAAAAGTAGGACCACATCGAAAGAAATTCTCCACTAATAAGAGTTAACAGATCAATAGAAAAAACTTGGGACTAATTGCAGTACTTGTTTGTGAGATGACATTTATTGATAAATATCCCAACATTAAATATGCATTTTATAATTAAAAAATAATATAATTTTAATTTTTTAAATCATAACTAAAAAAAATATCATAACTAAACACAACATGTGTCATAATTAAAATAATACTATAATTAAAAAAAAATTGATCATAACTAAAGAAAATTATAAAATTATATAACTAGGAGACATAAGATATATCCTTTTTAAAGGGGTCTATATTAAAATTTTCCTATTTTCTATATATATATACTAGCATATCACCCGTGTTATGCATGGATTGTGTTCACAGTTATCTATATATGTGAATTGTGATTTTTAAATATCTTTCTTTTTTTAAAAATGTTTTCTTTTTTTTCCTTTTTTATATTATATTAAAGTTTAATATTTTGATATTAATCATATGTGTTAGACTTTTCAAGGAATTAAATGTTTTTTTATTATATTATATTAAAGTTTAATATTTTGATAATAATCATATGTGTTGGACTTTTCAAGAAATTTTTTTTATGCTTGTTCTTAATGCGTTAAAATGTTATTATGAGGGATAATAATCATATGTGTTGGGACTTTTCAAGGAATTTATGTGTTAGATTTCAAAGAATTTTTTTTATACTTATTCTTAATGCATTAAAGTGTTATTATGAAGGTAAAACTTGGGGATTGGGAGAAGTTAATAAATGCTAAGATTTTTTTTTTAAATCAAATATCTTCATTTTTTTTAAATGTCTTCTTTTTTTCCTTTTTTTATATAAAAAAGATTGCGCAAATTACATATAACCCCCTCGAGGTTTAGCAAAATTATAGATACCCCTGAGGTTTGAGAAATTACAGATACCCCTGAAGGTACTATTTGCATAACAAATTAGGGGGCAAATTGTTATGAAAATATAAACCTCATGGGGCAATTTGTTACGAAAATATAAACCTCAGGGGGTATCTGTAATTTTCGAAACCTCAAGAAGGTATTTGTAATTTAACTAAATCTCGAGAGAGGTATATGTAATTTGCCCATTTTTTAAAATAACATTATATAAATAGGTCAAATTGTAACTTATTTACAATTATCTATATATGTGAATTGCGATTTTTAAATGTTTTCCTTTTTTATATTATATTAAAGTTTAATATTTTGATAATAATCATATGTGTTGGACTTTTCAAGAAATTTTTTTTATACTTGTTCTTAATGCATTAAAAAGTTATTATGAGGGATAATAATCATATGTGTTGGGACTTTTCAAGGAATTCATGTGTTGGATTTCAAAGAATTTTTTTTATGCTTATTCTTAATGTATTAAAGTGTTATTATAAGGGTAAGACTTGGGGATTGGGAGAAGTTAATAAATGCTAAAGTTTTATTTTAAATCAAAAAATCAAGAAATTTAGATTGGGAGATTGGACCTCCCACAAGACGTGGGGTTAAAAATCCCTTTTTACTTAATGGCCTCGTTTGGGAAGTGGCTATTTTAGTAAGCTATTTTAGTTTTTGGCTATTTTAGTAGGCTAAAATTTTTGTGTTTGGGAAGATAATTGGATTTTTTTGTGGTTGGATGTGATGTTTGTGAGAGAAAAAGTGAAATGATTATGGGTTTGATGTGGTATTTTGTCTTATTAACTATTTTAGCTTATTTTGTCTTTTTGTGATTTTTAACCTAAACTAGACTATTTTTTTTCTTCCCAAACACCCCAATATATAGTATAGATTTTTTTGGTGTGTGTGTTTTTGTTTCCCTTCACTTTCTATGTATTTTTATGGTGGATTTTTGACAAATCAACCAAAGAAAAATTTATTTCCAAATGAGACATTAAACATCAAAATTGTACCTTAAAAGCAAATTAAACTAAATATGTGAATTCACATCCAGGTCTTTATATAAATTTTTCTCGATTTCTTTTTTTAGATAGTGGTATATTTTTCTCGATTTAATATGTTCATATTTTATTAAAATTATAAAAAAATTACTAATTAATAAAATTTTAAATTTTAATTACCTTAGGCCTGTTTAGAAAGTTAGATTTAAGTTAAAATAATCAATAAAAAATAAAATATATTAAAATACTTAATAAGACAAAATATCATATTTAGATTGTAATTATTTTATTTTTTATATTACAATTATCAAATTAATTATAAAATAAAAATCAACTATCATCTAAAATACTATTTTTTTAACTAAGGCCAAGTTTGGAAAGTCTCAAAAAGTTAAAAAATTATTCAAAAAGTTAAAAAATTATCACTATTCATCAAAAGTCAACAATTACGGCTGTACAACTCCCAATACTAATTTTCCCCTACACATTAATTTATACAATTTTTTAATACACATTTTTTCATAAAAAATCAAAAAGATAACCCAAATAAATTTTTCTCGATTTCTTTTTTTAGATAGTGGTATATTTTTCTCGATTTAATATGTTCATATTTTATTAAAATTATAAAAAAAATTACTAATTAATAAAATTTTAAATTTTAATTACCTTAGGCCTGTTTAGAAAGTTAGATTTAAGTTAAAATAATCAATAAAAAATAAAATATATTAAAATACTTAATAAGACAAAATATCATATTTAGATTGTAATTATTTTATTTTTTATATTACAATTATCAAATTAATTATAAAATAAAAATCAACTATCATCTAAAATACTATTTTTTTAACTAAGGTCAAGTTTGGAAAGTCTCAAAAAGTTAAAAAATTATTCAAAAAGTTAAAAAATTATCATTATTCATCAAAAGTCAACAATTACGGTTGTACAACTCCCAATACTAATTTTCCTCTACACATTAATTTATATAATTTTTTAATACATATTTTTCTATAAAAAGTCAAAAAATTAATCCAAACATTCATATTTTCAACCTCAACTTTTTAATCTAAAAAGACAAAAAATACACTTATTTAAAATACTCCAAACAACCCCTAAATTAAAATAAAAATAATACTTGATAGTTCGAATTGAGTTTATCTGAATAATTGGAATTTGTGCTTACTGATTAACCGTCTAAACAATCAGTAAAACATCTGTCCAGTGTAACTATCAACTTTTTTATTAGATGACGGGGCCAATCAACCAACAAGTCAAAATTCAAATCACTGAAGACAAAATAAAATTCAAACTAGTATTTATAATTATTAAAATAATTAAAAAAATCAATTAAAATTACGTATTTCCAAACCAATCTTAATTCCCTCGTAAAATAGTAGTGATTGGTACCACTAATTTGGTATTATTAAACCACCACTAATAAGGTGAAAAATTCCAAAAAAAAAAACACAAAAGCAAAAGTAAAAGTAAAACATCTCTTCATGTAAAACTCATACCAACATTAAAATTATTAGTGCTTCTTTTTTAAGAATATTTTAAAAAAATAATTAAAAAATTAAAAAATCACTTTTAATTCACGTTTCCAAATAATGGTCTCACTATTTTTCCTACGGGGGTGTTTTGCTTGCGTTTACAGCGTGAGTGTGAGTGAGAGAGAGAGATTGATGGATTTTGACAGCACGATGGTCACGTGAACGCGTAGCATAGGGCACGTGGCACACAGGTAAATCATTTAACGAACGTCGGTCGGCAAAAGCAGTACACGCTTTGCACTTTGACTCCCCCAAAAATTATTAAATGCTTCAAGGGGCACCATGTGTATCTTCTTCCAGCCAATCACCATTTGCAAATTTGTGAGTTCCATCTCAGAACCTTCTTAGAGCTCCACCTTACTATATACCAGGACCACTGAATAATCGCTCTCCCTCCTCCCATCCACGCATTTCACATGTCCTTTTTGTATCAATTTTCTTTCGGATTTGGGTGCCTGCTTTCTGTGCGGCCCTATGGGCTTTTTAAGGTTTGTTTCATAATTGAAATTGTTTATATTTTAAAATATATTAAATAGAATATATTTATAAAAAATTAAATTAAATAGATATTGTTAATTATTTCATACATTTATATTTATATTTATATTCATTTTAATACTTTAAATCAAAATATTATTCATTTTTAAAGGTACAAATATGAGTGGATGAAAAGGTTAATAATATCCGATTAACTTAATTTTTTTTAGATATGTTCTACTCGATGTATTCTAAAATTTAAATA